GAAAGGACAAACTGCGGTATTATTTCGAGTTAATTCGCTCCTCCAGTTCCCTGTGGGTGGTGGTGGTGTTCTGCTTCCGCGGTTGGGATCCACGCAGGCCTTAACTGTTGGGAGCGCGGGATTACCTTGGAATGCGCAAATAAAAAGGCAAATAATTAGGCAAATGGTATGCATGCATAAGATGCTTCGTTAATTATAAATTTGTTCGTTACAAATTTGTTAATCGCAAAAGTGAAGACGCGAAAATAAGCACACGAAATAGGTACGAAAAATTATGTTGCAAAGTTTTGCAGCGACGTACGCGGAACTCATTTGACCAGTTCTAAGCTTCAAATTTTTTGTAACAATTTTCTTGCGCATGGGTTACGCAACTTTCCCGCGGGATCCTTTTTAATTTTATTTTTTTTAACATAGAAACGGGAAAATTGTAAGGCATGTTCTATATCGCACGAGGAGTGTGTACAAAAGAGGGTTGCACATATTCCCAGTGCCTTAGTGCCATGCATATTTCCCCCCAATGAGCTCAAAAATGTGAAAAAAAAAAAAAAAAAAAAGCACCAAATCGCGTCAAATCGCATCAGATGAAATCACACCAAATAACCAAACTGTTACACCATTCGCAGTTTCCATGCGGATGACACTACACAAGAAAATTACCGTAGGTACATTTGCATGTGCCCACTATGCATGTACGTACTCATAGGCACACCGTTTCGCATGCTTATCAAGGCCCATATGTGTCACAGTATATTTCCTCGCTGCATACCGACTTTCACAAAATTGGGGTTAAATTTTTTTGCTGGCATGTCCTCTACGCAACAGTGGGCGCCAATTCGACACATAGCGCAAGAAGTGATCTGAAAAAATAAAACTCATGCAGGGTGAAACTTGCATATGTAGGTATATATAAACATATATATATATAAAAATATATACATATTAATTCACAGTCCTCCGTGGGGGGATATCTTTCCCTGCATCGTCTCTTTTTATGTGCGCACAGACGTACGTACACCCACGCGCAGTCACGCGGAATAAAGGTGAACAGGAACTTTCTATAGAGGGGGTTTAAGAAGTGGAAAGAATTCACCTTGATCCTTCTCCTGGAGGTATTTTTTTTTTTTCCACTCCCTGTGGGTTTCCACTCAAGTGTACATGCACCCAATGTGTCACTCCCCCGTATAGGGGGCCCTCGTGCAGGTCTACGCAGGACGGTGGTTCCTGCTTCGGGTTCCCCCACTGTTGTCCATGAAAGCGCAAAAAAAGGGATGAGGGCATCTTTTCGCAATTTTTAAAATTCCCCTCTGGGAGAACGTGTGGGAAGGAGCATACCCAAACGAACACGCCCGATGTTACGGGTATTACGGGTGTTACATTTTCTTGTTGGGCAATTGCGAACGTTAAAAAAAAAGGTCGAGTTTGTACAAAAAAAAGGAAAAAAAAGTTGCCGGTGTAAAGTGACAGGGGTAACATAACAGGTCTAAGGGGAATTCACAAAGGGAGAACACAGAAAGCACGTCAAACGCAGAGGCGAACGGGCCGGCACTAAAAAAAAGTCGACATGGTCTTCTGCCGAATCGTCTGGTGAGGAATGAAATAAAAATAATCAGCAGACCGTATGGGCAGTAACCCACTGTTGGAGCACAGATTCATAATGTAAAGAAAACCAAGAAAATTTAAAAGGGCAAAGCAAAATTTCTGTGCCCAAAATTTCTGGTTGGAATTATTTTCCACACTCTTAAACGCATCATTGATGTTAAGTAACGATTTTAAAATGTTGTACGCTGAGTACACAATAAAAATGATGCCAAAGATCCCTGACGCGCCGCCCGACATGAACATAACAAATATATTCATCACTAATCCTTTGAATGCATTAAGACAAATGCCCCAAGCTTTTTTGTCCAGCACCTTTTGGCTAATCGCAGATGATGTGGTTGACTTGTTAACTTCGCTTTTGTTTATCTTATTTAAATTGTTTATATTTTTTTCCACTTTCAGGTAACTGTCTCCACCTCCGTATGCTCCTCTCACGTCCTTCTCGAATTTGTATCCAAACGGCTCCGTCACGCCTTCACATTTTTCGTCATATTTTTTAAGGTTGAATTCCCATCTACTCATTTTTTTTTTCTTTTTTGTTTCAGCGGGGAAATTTGGTGCGCACAGATGGGGAGTAGTGCGCACGGATGGAGGAGTCGATCTTCTCGTGGATTTCGACTGTCTTGTGCGGTGCGACCTCGTTGCGTGAGGGTGTCTCCAGTTGTACGGCGCTCCTTCGCCCGTTCGTTCGTCCGTTCGTCTGTATCCAGATATACTCACAACTGCGTGTGCTTATTGGGGGCAGTTTTATTTACCACCCAACGACGAGTAAAGGGGGTAACTTCGAAATGGTTCCTCTACAATTGCTGTGCCAAGCGGAGGGGAGGCAAAAAAAAAAAAAAAAAAAAAGGCTGCCCCCAAACAACGCTGTTTCGTGCGCAGTCGGCTGGGGCTATGGACTTAAAAATGGGGTAGTATGGAAAGATGGAGGATGTAAGTACAACCCATCAAAGCTGCGCAAAGCGATGAGCCACACATGCAAACGGAGCATTACAAGTATATATTTCATCACATTACTATGCTGTAATGGCCTATGTAGGGTAATGCTGCATCGCTCGCAAAATATATATAATGCCAATTTAAGCTTAAATTATAAAGACTACGCATCGAATGGGGATGCAAAAAAAAAAAAAATACCTTTATATAGCTGTACAAACTACTGTTATCCCGCTGAACGTCAATTTTGCAAACCCTTTCTTTTTATTTTCTCCGCATGTTAACTGAGCTCTTCACGTAAGGTTGCACGGGGAAATTCCCTCGAACGGTTTCTGTTCACAAAATGGAAAGCTGCCATGAAAAAAAAAAAAAAAAAAATATTTTATACTCACCTTGAAGAGACTATTCGTGCGATTTGGACTAATCTATATTGAGACTTTCACTCGAAAATTTTTTTTTTTTTTTTTGTTTTTTTTTCCAAAGTGGTAATAAAAAAATGAAACGGATAAGGTGACATACCGTGGCCATTCCCCCATGAGGGTTAGAAAAAATTATCGCCATGTCGATTTATCAATTTGTACGCGTTGAAGCATCTTATATTCATATGCGCAGCCATGAAAGTACTGCGTGATTTAAGATACAGGTTGAATGACCATCCTAATGCCCGGGGGGATGGTAAGCCTTTCTCCCACTTGGCGCTCTGACATGGGTGAACAGGCAACTTTTCGCCCTGCCATCTTTCTCGCAAAAAGAATGTTCCATGTGCTTATACATTGGTAATTACGCGAAAAGGTACATGGCTACGCAAGTGCGTGTACCTATGTGTTACACGTTTCCTCGCGCACCTCACTTTATGCGATTAATCTTTTGACCTGGCAAAACGCGCTTTAAGGAGGAATTTCATACTGCACGGAAAAAGGTCTCTTTAAT